TACACTGCAGTCCTCATGCCCTAGCCACTACAAACTTAGTTCTGGCTTTAGGTCCACAGCCCCTTAATTCCAATGATGATATGTGAGACATCATCTGCCTGGACATATCCAGTGAGTTATGTACTATATTTCATTAATTGTGGAGGATCTGTACATTGGTTGGCTGCATAACTGTGACCGGATGGATCACGTATTGCAGGAGCAGGCCAATTCTGGTACTGTTGTCCCTAAATTCATGTTTTCTTCTCACGATGTTAGGGTTTTGTCTCTGGAGCCGGTCGGCCTTTCCCACCAAGGAATTACATTTCACATTGTCCGGGCGAGGAGTATATCTGTTCCGGAAGTAGTATGGGCCCCAATATTGTGCTATTACTATATCTCATTTTTGCACACCTTTTTTCTACGCAGATACTTTCTGTGTGGATCTTGCCCTCTCTGGCACCTCAACCAAGTCAATGTGGGATTCTTGCTATAGTATGAGAGGAGGTGTGTTTCGGAAGTTAACATTTTTCCAAAACTGAAAATGTATTTCCGATAATACTTGACTCTTCTCACACTCTCCTGCTCTTTCCCCCTACATTGGCTGGTGTTAGGTCCGCTAATTTGGACAGTCTAGAAAAAGTGAATAGGAAGTAATAATGGGGAGCTTATATATGGATCTGGGATAGGAAGTGCATTGCCATAAGTGGAGGGAATTACACGATTTAACTTACTATGGGTTTATAGTGGGGTATAAAGGCTGTAGCAAGCGAGATAAGGTTGATACTAATGCTTAGATGGGCAGAGAAGAATAACTTTCATCAAGAGATAAGTATTATTGAAAATACATTTTTAGGATAGGAAAATGTTAACTTTTAGATAGCATAAATATTTAACCATTCCAGTGTTATTTCTTTTAAAAGCATTTACAGGCTTCACTCACTTCTGTATTGAATTTCTTCACAAAATTTAGTGTATACATGTATCAGAAGATTTCATCATTATAATGATCAATCACTGGGTATTAAAACTGTCAAGTGACAGCTTGCAAACATGGAGCAACTGTATTTAAACAAATTTCACATTTACTTTTTTGTTGTTTTTTCACCAGCCCTCTAAATTCATTCATAACTGATATCTCAAATTAGGCAAGATGATGTGGTTGCACCAGTAATTATTGTAGCTATTTACCATAAGTTTTATGTTTTTTATAGCATCTAACTGTTTGATATTATTCATAGAAAAAATTGATGGAAACTATCTTATGATACTATTGTCTTACTGTAGCCTTTTTTCAGTTGTACATAAAGACTGGTGAAGTCAGTTTCAATGATCAAGTTGATGCAGATTTGAGGAGAAAATCTGCTGGTGGTGGGAGTATGTTTGGCAGCCTCCAGACTTCAGTCCAATTTTCCCAGATTTGCTCCTAGCCCCCTCACATGCTTGATATGTACCAACTTTTACATTTCATGAATGATACCTTTAATGCTACATATGATAGAGACCACACATTTTTATTCTTTATGCTACCATACACTGTTGCTGTTGGTCCTGACTTCAGCCTAATGAATGATAATGGCTACTCTCACTGTGCTAAATTGACCAAGCAATATTCTTTGAAGAAGGAGAGATTGAAGGAGTGGCCTTCATGCTCTCCAGACTTCAATCCCTCCAAGCATATATTATACTCTCCTGGAGGACATAGTGCACCTTATAAAGCAGCTCAAAGTGTTAAAGATGCTCTGGAAACATCTGTTCCAGAGAAGTGGTTGAGGATAACCTGGGATCTTAACAATATTATGATTTTAGGGATGCACCTTGAGTGTCAATTGTCCTTGCTGTTTTTGGTTAACCTGTTCAGTATTGAAGTGAATGTTGTGAACTCTAAGGATGTAAAACCCCATCATTTCATTTATGAGTATAGGTTGAATTACCAATTATTTGAATTTTAGATCAAATGGCTGATTTTCATTAAACGTAATAGTGGGGGATGATTGACATTATTCTATAACAGTGGTTTTGCTTTCCCAAATGTATATCATTATAATTTCTGATTATCCTTTAAATCAGGGCTACTCAACTGGTGGCCTGTAGGCAAGTTTCATCTAGACCCTGAAAATTGAAGTATCACTTAGTTGAAAATTTGATATAGTGAAATACAGAACATATTTAATATTTTAAAGAGGCAAAGTACTATTTGTTGACTACTCATATATCTTCCATTCTGTTTCCTATGAATGTATTGCTGAGTTGCATTCTGACCATTGATTTTAAGTTGGGTAGCCCTGCTTTAAATGCTTTAAACATATTTTATTACTGACCTCACTTTGAAGTAAATTTGTATTTACTACTTTTCACAAATATGCAGTGTATATACAAGCTAAGTGGGTTGGAGGGATGCATACCATAGGAGTGATTCAATTCTAAAATTTTTTACATACTAAATATCAATATTCTTTCCCTTTCAGTTATAAAATGAGGATTATGTCTCTCTAGCAGATTATATTATTGTTTGAAAAATATTAAAATTCCAGCATTTGGTTGCAATTCATATTCATTATTATATACATATATATATATATATATATATAAGAATTTTCAATTCTTTTATATTTCCTTGAAAATTACCATCTATGGTTATTTTATTCCAAAGTTTATATTTCATATTCATCTAATTTTTGGAATATGATTTTAAAATATATCCAATTTTAGAGTGTTTCAGAATTGTGGTTTTAACTGTTTCTTGTTGTTAAAGCTTTCCTTTTCTATTCTTTTCCACATAATACTTAATACAAAATCATGGCGTTTATAAATAGAGGATTTTTGAAAAATGGTTAAAATCCAGTATTTGTATTGTTTGCTAGACACTGTTCCCTTCATTTTCAAATTTTTCAATTCTTCACTTTGCAATGAGCTAAATGTACTGTTGTTGTATTTCTAGATGGAATGAAGAACAAATTTTTATAGCAGAGAAGTGGATGCCACAAAAAACAAGTATGGTAACAAGATAATAGCTAGAAAGTTATCTGTAGAATTACATTATCAAATGTTAATTGTAGTCAGAGTATACTCCAATATACATGAAAGGTATATGCAAAGTATGTTTAAAAACCCACAAATATAATGATATAGTATTATTCATTTCAGTTAATTATTTTGATATTAAAAGATGGTTGAGTTTCAAGAAAATAAGAATAAAATAATTTGTTGAAGATGTACAAGTAACTGAACTATACAAGTTCACTTATTGCAGATTTCACAGCTTGCCAGAATAAACTACTAAAGTTTCTTATTCTAGGAATTTCAAAATAATGACAATTCTAAGTTGGGCTATTTTGTTGATTTCTGAATCATTCACTTTTACAGTTTAAAAAAAATTTTGCTAGAAATTCTGCAACATTCTCAATTAGGTCAATGTCTTTTATTATTAGGTCATCTGGAAATTAATGTCGCATTTTGGAACACTCGTTAACCACCCCCCAAAAAACGTACATCACGTTAAAAGTTAAACGAACTGCCTAAATGTCATGTTAGTGTAGCCTATATAATGTGTAAAGTTTAGTATACTCTAATCTCTTATAGTGATAATACACAACAAGACACACATTCGGCATGTAATGCTGTATGAATACAAGAAGGGAAAC